AACTTGGATTTTATTAGCTCTCTGCCTTTTATTGCCACTCAAGTTTGCCTTATTGTTTTCGTCTCTCTCAGTATTTGCTTTGGATTTCGAAACTGTCTAAGTTGCAATTTTAGTCATCTAAATACGCCACTTTGCCTACATTGTGAGAGTCAAATTTGACACACCCTGTATATCCTTATGGTACAAATTCTGTGACATCCATTATAAACGTGTTCTTGACTATACTTTTCATCAAGCTATTACCATTCTACCTGGGAAATTATTTAGTAGTCTAGCCGAGCGACTTCCATCAGCATGCCATTTACCCATAATTGTTTATTAGAAACGACTAAGCATAGTTCAAGGTTGATGTGGCACGAAATATCAACACATCAACGTAAATGCTGGATATTTGATTGATATACTTGTGTATTGTTTCTCTGGTGAAATATCAACGCGGGAATACAGTCTGGCTGAATAACGTTTTCCGGCCTTGAAAGTTAATGGAAATAGAAAACGCTTCGAAAGAGAGAATTTTCAAACAAAATTACTTGTTGCGCTAGTGCTGTCTTTTTCTAGAATTGACCATTGCGAGGGTTGATATAGCAGTTTTCTGGTGGAACTGTAAAAGTACATCAACCTTGCTTCTAAAGTCTTGTGTGAAGTACATGGGTCCATGCAAGTCATAACATTTGCTTTCGTTGAACCAAGATCAGTACTCCACAAAAATGTCAAAAATAAGAAGTCTGGACATACTTCGTCGTATGTTATTTGTTCGGTTTTTGGGTAGTTGGACCGTCGTAAAATATTTTTATTCTACGTTTCGTCAACACAAGTGGTCGGCATCTTCAGATGTAGTTCACAGTTAGGAGTCCTGTGAGTTACTGAAGGTAAACACCTATTTTTTTGTCTCTCGGTATGAAAATCGTGGTTCCCCAAAACATTCAAATATGTAATAAAAAATATGGATGTCTTTAAAAAAGCAAGTTTGACATACAGCTCAGTACAAGCCTGAACTTTTTTTTAAAATGTATTTCCACACAATTTTGGAACGAGTTTGACTTGCCCTGTGTATGTCAGAATTGTAATGTTGAAGAATTTTATTATTGTGATTTTTGTCGTCGTTTGTCACTATGCTGTCACTTTTCTCAAGTAATAGTAGTAGTAAAGATTTATCTAGCACGTTTGGCTTCATAAAGAGGATAATTAGAAACAACTTAAAATTAGTAAATTTGATATGACGCACATGTTGGGCAAGCTATAATTGTAGATTCAAAATGTGATTCCTCAATTTTACTTTGTGTACTGGTCTTTTATCACGGTGTCTAATTTATTATATTCAATCAACCCTTGATGGAACACAGATTTGTAATATATATTATAGTTTTTGGGGATTAAATGGAATTCATCTTTACCCTTGGTATTATGTAAAATGAAGACATCTGATGATATTAATTTGGTTAGTCATGCTGTAAATATATTATTTTTCAGTCTATGAATGAAAATCATTACAAGATACTTGAAAAAAAATTTCTCATTGAGCCATTTAGAATAGAGGAATAGTACAAGAAATGTTATAGATAAAGTTTTTGCTATTTGAACTCAGACATCTTCGAACTCTTGATAAATATCCCGCTATACTACTAATCCCTAAGCTCCAAGGCACTCGAAATTTTCGAACGAACGCAATCATCAACAGCCAAAAAATATCCTAAATTAAAATCAACAAAATATTACTATCTTTAATGTGCTAAAACCGGAATGAAACTTATTTCTTCAATATTAGTTCAAGTTTTAGAGATACGGTAATTATATGTGTTCCTGCTGTGACAGTGTTAATATACTGTAATTCACAAGAATGCACGTGCTACATTTTTATATTCGGCAAGGAAAGATGATGTAATCGGCATGATTGTGTTACGTTATACATACGTGTACATTATATTGTTTTATATTAGCCATTTTTTCCTCAGTTGGCTAACAGCGTTCATGCAAGATGTCTCGAAAGTGTGTACACGATGCAGATCAGTTTTGTTACGTGTGTGGTGATGTGACTATTACTCCACTAATAACACAGGCATATCAGCTTTATTTCGGTTGTAAACTAGGTGATCAAGACAAATAGTGGCCACCCCACATCTGCTATAGTACATGTGCTTCAAGTCTGAGGAGCTGGTTAAATGGCAAAAAACGGTCTATGCGCTTTGCTGTCCCAATGGTTTGGAGAGAGCTTACAAATCATATTAATGATTATTACTTTTGCATGGTACCTTGTGTTGGACAAGCCACAGGTATGTCCAAGAAAAAAAAATCGGTTATTAACTACCCAAACATACCATCTGCGATGAGACCTGTGCCTCACAGTGACGAAAATCCTATTCCAAAACCCCCAGAATCCTACACTTGCGAATCAGTAAACGAATCAGATCATGGAGATCGAGTGATTCGTCAGGAAGAAGATATGCCATCAACGTCAAGAGATCCTGATTTTATACCGAGGACGTCATGCTACCAACCTCACAAAATAACACAGTCAGAATTAAATGATCTTGTAAGAGATTTAGAACTTCCAAAATGTAAGGCAGAGTTACTTGGATCAAGACTGCAGCAGTGGAACTTGTTAGAAGACGATGTTTCGGTATGTTTTTTTCGTAAACGCCACAAAGACTTAGAACCATTTTTCGATATGGAGAATAACTTGGTTTTCTGCAGTAACATTAACGGCTTACTGGCGGCTTTAAATATAACCTATAACCCAGAAGAATGGAGATTGTTTATAGACAGTTCAACATTGAGTTTAAAGGCAGTGTGATTGCATATTGGAAATATTTTACCATCTCTTCCTGTAGGGTATGCAGTTCACATGAAAGAATCATATGACAATATGAAGTACCTATTGGCATGCATAAAATACGATGAGCACCAATGGCATATTTGTGGCGATTTGAAAGTTGTTGCACTTTTACCTGTGCTGCACCTAGGCTACACAAAGTTTTGCTGTTTTTTGTGTGAATGGGACAGTCGGGCAAAGGCACTTCATTACACCAGACAAAACTGGCCTGTTCATCAATTCCTAGAGCCAGGTCAAAAAAATTTACAGCATTCGAAAAAAAATTTATTACCACCACTGCATATCCAGTTGGGCCTAATGAAAAACTTTGTCAAGGCATTAGATAGTGATGGGTCAGCTTTTCAATACCTGCGTCAGAAATTTCCAAGACTAAGTGAGGCTATGGTTAAGGAAGGTATTTTTGTTGGGCCACGGATTCGAAATATTTTGAAAGATACATAGTTTGAAAACACTTTAACAGGTATTGAAAAAACTGCTTGGAATGATTTCCGTCTGGTGGTCACTAATTTCTTGGGAAATAGAAAAGCTGACAACTATAAAACCTTTGTCAAAAATATGCTGTCATCGTGTCAAAAGATGGGCTGTAATGTGTCTCTTAAGATACATTTCCTACACTCACACCTGGACCTTTTTCCTGACAATTGCGGAGCCGTAAGTGATGAGCAGGGCGAACGTTTTCATCAGGATATTTCAACAATGGAAAAAAGGTACCAGGGAAAGTGGAATCCTTCCATGCTTGCCGACTACTGTTGGACTCTTGGTAGAGATGCTCCAGAAACGATCCATAAAAGAACTGCAAAAAGACAGCGCATATAGTGATTCTTATAGTATATGAATCTTGTTACTTTTTTTAATATATCCTTAAAAATAAAATTTTTTTTTTCTAAACCGCAACTAATTTTTTTATTTCATTGTCATTTTTGGATTCAGCGCCCCAATGTTAACAAATAAGTGCACTTTTCCCACAAGGTACAATTAAAAAACTAAAATTTGTTGTCCAGTGATTTAGTTAAACATTTGTAGATTTGCTTACACCAATTAACACAACTTTCGCTTCACTTGTCTTTCATTTCAGTTTGTAGATGCTAACCATTTTGAAACAAGCTTCAAGTCTTCACTTATACGAGGGATGTCTTTTAAGTTTTGCACATAGAAACATAGTAGGCCGCGCGGATCGAACGTATGAAAACATACTGAATCTTAACCTCACTCTTTTTAGTAAACTTAAATTCAAAGTTTCACAACAATACGTGCAATGTTCTCACTACAGAGAATTTTTAAGTGTCGCCAAGTCATTAGAAAAATGGAACTCAACCGAGAACATTTTCGCGCCATAATTTATCACAACTTTCAGAGACAATTATCGCAACAAGAATGCCTTGCTGAGTTACTGTCTGTTTTCGGCAACGTGAAGAAAAGCCAACAGAAGTCATCCGTTCTCGAAGTGTTTGGAAAAAGACGGTCGCGACATTTGTGTCAAAAGCGGGTCATATTGCAAGAAGTGGTCCCAGGATAGTGCCCCTTGGAAAACCTCAAGCACTTCCAATGTTTGATGTTATTAACTTCTGTAACTTGCAACGAATAATTTTTAAACCATTCTAAAACACTCCCTGAGATACTCTATGTCTTCAGTTTACCTAACAGAATATCCCTATCGATTGCTTCAAATACCCGTTATCTAATCAAGACGGGTGCTGAAAAAAGGTGGTCAGTAACGAAGTAAGAAGTAACTACTTTCAAGTAACTTCCTAGTTTGTCGCAAATTTCAGCCTGCAACAGGCAGATTCTTGAATAAAATAATGCAAGAAAGCGAATCAGACTATTTTTCCCATCAGATGGAAGATATTGCTGCGCTTTCGAAATATCTCTATTTTTTCAAGTGATTACCGCATATAAATCAAACTGCAAACGGACTGGATCTGGAAGTCACCCTATTTTTCTGAAAGATTTTTCTAAGTGAGCGAGGATACAGTGGTTGCGATAGGTACAACTTTCCTTCAAACCTACACTCCATTATTAATTTGCCTTAATTTTGATCAATGTGTTCTGTTCTCGGTTATACAGGGTTATGCTTCGTGGCTTCTGGCCCTAGACAAAAGTAATTACATCGTCAAAGTAAACTTAGCTATTGTGTTCCTTTGTAAATTTTATTCACTCCGATGGTTAACACGTAGTTGTTTATTCCAGGTCCCTTTGATTGTAAGAAAATGGAAGCACAGCAAAATGGTAGACTAGAATGAGCCCGACGAAAACGGAAGCACGAAGAGGATGCGTCCGACCACCACATTTCGATATATTGTAAGTATTCTGAAACATGCCAGTGTTGAACTGCTCTCGCTTACAGGGATCTCCAAAAATTTCGCTAGTAGCAGGGCGGCAGGGTGACGCTAGCACGCGTTCGAACAAAGAGGTTTCTTAAATTTTTCGAAAGTTGGCTATAACTCAAATCATCGAACTTTAAAAAATTGTTACATGCCTTCCAACGCTGCTTTTATTCAAAATTTTCTCATTCAGCATATGTTTTCCAATAGGTAATAGACACTGTTAAATTTTTGAGCATCAAACAATTTATTGATTAACATTAACGATGAAATAAATATTATCGTCACTACCTTCAATGAAATTTTCATTTTGTGCTCAGGATCCGCCATACCTTTATATTTCCTAAAAATGTTCATCCAATAACAAATTCATAGCCAAATAAGGAAGTATATCACTGAATTTAAGACTGAAAATTCCATGTACTAAGTCCCAAATTACAAAAGCAAAATTGGGTGAAAAAGAAACCCCCGAATTGAAAATTTGACTACCATCCTGTTTATAGTATATATAAGTAAGAATTACAACGTGAAATTTTTTTTGAAATATCATCTCAAATATGTTCAGGAAAAAATAGAAGTCGTTCTGAGACAAGAGACACGAAACAGCATATTGGAATTGTAATTATGTCATCTTGTAGAGGAGAAAAAGTGGTAATATTAATGTGAAATACATTTTGAAATTCCATTACAAATAAAGTTAGTAATACTACATTGCTCTTTTTTTACGAGCAAATATTAATAAAAAAATATAAGTTAATATGAAAATTTTTATAAAAGTTCATAACCATAAACTCCTAAAAATAAGGTATTTAAATGAATAGAATTTTACAACTGAGAAGCAATAAATCTACTTCAGCATTCAGCATAAAAAACAAAAGTGAAAAAACTGAGCCCGACCCTGAATTTTTCAACGTTCATCTAGGTAATCATCGTGCAAAACTGAACTTGTAGCTTTTTTATTTTAAGATATAAAGCGGTCTCGGTCATACTACCTAAAATCTTCTATGTATACTAAGTGACATATAAATCCGAACACCCAGTTTAAATGGTTTTATTTTAATAAAACTTTGTATAAGTACTTAATGAAGCATAATAAGTAAATGATAAAAATTTCAAAATGATTGCACTACTTTAAAGCCCTTTGACCTTTAATAATGTATGGATGCACTCTGATGTGCTACGCATTCTCCAACGCGCCTAGGCATGCTTCTGATCAGGTGGTCAATGTCCTCCTGTGGTATCTCATTCCAGGCAACCACCAACTCCTCTCGAAGTGCTTCTAGAGTCCGAGGAGGACGTTGCGAATTGAGCAATCTCCTACCCATCATACCCCACACGTGCTCAATTGGGGATAAGTCGGGAGATCTTGGTGGCCATGGTAACAATGTGACATCATTATGTTGAAAGAAGTCTATTGTGACTCTTGCAACATGTGGTCGGGCATTATCTTGTTGGAAAGTTGGATCTGCCAGGGTGTCAAGATATGGTAAAAGATGGGGTTCTAGAACTTCGTGGATATAACGCTGCGCGTTCATGTTACCTCTGATGAAGATTAAAGGTGACCTGGAACCATAAGCTATAGCACCCCAAACCATAACTCCAACAGTGTGATGAACATGTCTTTCAACAAAAAACTGTGGATTCCTCCTTTCACCACGTCGCCTTCTAACCCTGGCACGACCATCGTGCATGCCTAAACAAAATCGAGACTCGTCAGTAAAGACAATACTGTTCCATTCCTGATCCCAGAGTGACCGTTGTCTGCACCACTCAAGGCGATTACGTCGGTGTTCTCGAGTTAAAGGGAGGACCCAGAGTGGCCGGTATGAAAACAAGCCAAAACTTCTCATTCGTCGGTAAACAATGGACAATGGACCTGGTAGTGGAGAAACGGTCCCTTAAGGCCAATAATCTTAGGCGGCGATCTTCACGGTCTGTTGTTCTACGGCGGCGTCCAGTGCCCCTTGCTCTTTGCGTACGGCCTTCTCGAAGCCATGCCTGACAACACCTAACCACAGTGTCTACACTTCTTTGCACTCTAACTGCAATTGCCCGAAAAGAAAGTCCAGCTTCCCGAAGTCCCACTATACGGCCCCTATCAAACTCGCTAAGTTGACGAAATCGTACAGGTCTCCGTACTCTAGGCATCGTAACCGATCGTACAGGATGTCAAGAACAAAAATCCGCCAACGTTGATTCTTTACTGCGGCTGAAATATTCATTTTTAGAGCGTTAGTGAATTAAAAAAAAGCAGTATAAAAACCGTAATGTCCAACTGATAAGGCTGAAAATTTTTTCACTTGTTATTTACAGTAAGATAAATACATTCACCAACTTTTATTAAAATAAAACCATTTAAACTGGGTGTTCGGATTTGTATGTCACCTAGTATATATTCTAGTACGGAACACCCTGTACGATATGACCAATGAATTATCTTTATCTACCAAGTGTAATATAACACGTTCGCAATAATCAACAGCAGCAAACGGCGTACTTTGGAGTGCTTATTTCTGGAAAACTTTTAAGTTATTGCTTAGCCCAACACAGATACGCTACTATGTCTCTAAGGAATACATTGTTTCCATTCCATTTTTCCGAGAGTTTATGAAGGAAGGTAACACGGAGTTAGGGAAGTTTTTATTTGAAAAGACAACTTTTAATGTGCAATGCACGGAAGAAAGATTCTTTACACTAAAACACTAGTCATACTAGTCTAAGTAAAACTTAGATCGAGAAGTCTTGTCTGTGATATTGCAACATTGTGACTTGGAGTTATTATAAGAAATTGTTGGCTTGCATGATGATATCCGGATATCGAGAGTAAAAGTTACTAGTTCTCAATAGTAGGTAAAATACATCGCCGATCTGACATGAAGGAAAAGGTCTGGGATGATAGATACAAGGTGCTTTTAAAGTTGAGTCATTTATTTCAACTGATTCTAGAAGAATAACCTATATAAAGCTTGCATAATAAGAGTTCACATTATTTAAAGTTATTTAAAAAAACAATAATTATCAAGTTAAGCTTTTACAAAAACTGTTCAAAGTTGTCCCCATTTGCTCAGTCAACGCAAAGTCTTGCTCGGCGAATCCACTACTCTCTACAAGCTTTGAAAATAAAATTCCTGGTATCCGAGAATTAAATCACAAGCATGTTCAGTGCGCTGTTTAAGTTCTCATCACTGGATCATCTTCAACCATATCTAAAATGTCTTCCTCAATTTGTAGCATTTCAGGTTGAGCTTGTCGTCCAGACTGACCTCCTCGTTGTTCTTTTAAATATTCTGTGTCACGAAGTCTAATAACTAAATTTACACACATCCGAGAGGCCGTATGATTTCTTAGAGGAAACTTTTCCGCATACTACCTGCATTCTGTAGCTGCATTTTGTTGGTATTATTGTCCACTAGTTCGTTGTTTTCGTAAGCAAGGGTATTTTTTTCGCACCAAATAAACAGAGTGAAAGTATACCCACTATTCAAAGACTGATACAACTGTTCAAATAAAAGACTCGTACTGAAAACGACCAATAACACAAATGTTTGCCAAATTTAGATAAAGGATAAAAGTAGTAAGCAAAAAACTCTAAGATTTTACACGGCAGTGGTCGAGAATACCAAAGAATCTGTGTGTACTATTTCTCATATTACGTAACCTTTATATAGGTGATTTTTTGCTATAGCAACTCCTTTTCAGTCCTACAAACAGTTAAAGTAAATGAAACAACTTTGAAAACACCCTATATATCTGTCGTGTTGGAACCCTTAGAAAAATATCCAATTGGGCAGTTGTAAAATCCAAAGGAGACTGGATGGCAAACGTCTATTTATTCTGTTATTTCTCGGGTGTCATTGATGGTGCATAATAAGTATAATGATAAATCGTCATTGAGTGATAGTTATTATGCGACATATAGTTTGGTGACTACGAATTAAAAGTTATTCTAAAGAATAACGTGAATCTTAAACTTATTAGTATAAAGGCACCAGGCCAACGAGAGTTTGACATCAAAGGAAATAGTGAATGCGATCTGCATTCTAAACATAGACACATCAGCCATTTTTGAGAAATCGCATTTTAGAGTGTCCAGAAAATGAAAATAATGTTTCGGTTGCCAAGCTTCCACTTATTATGCAAGATTTCTGTGAAATCATGAATAACCAGAGCAAGGTTGAAGCCATATATATTGATTTCTATAAAGTATTGGGCAAACTAATCGTTGCATTCTTTTAAGGATTTAACGCGCCTTTTCGTATCATTTATATCCAGACTTATTTAATTAATAGACTTCGGTATGGTTATTATGATGGTTTGGAACCTGTCATGTATATGGCTCCTCAGGGTTCTTATCTCGGCCCTTTGGTGCCTCTCCTTTTACAATTAATACCTCTCAAGCGTTTACTTGGAATGATTTGGTATATGTTGATGATTTGGAAACCACCATGAATGCCTTTTGTAGCAGCAAAGTATTGATATTTTGGGTAGTGCGTTATCAATGATCTAAATTTAAGTGACATATAAATCCGAACACCCAGTTTAAATGGTTTTATTTTAATAAAATTTTGTATAAGTACTTAATGAAGCATAATAAGTAAATGATAAAAGTTTCAAAATGATTGCACTGCTTTAAAGCCCTTTGACCTTTAATAATGTGTGGATGCACCCTGATGTGCTACGCATTCTCCAACGCGCCTAGGCATGCTTCTGATCAGGTGGTCAATGTCCTCCTGTGGTATCTCATTCCAGACAACCACCAACTCCTCTCGAAGTGCTTCTACAGTCTGAAGAGGACGTTGCAAATTGAGCAATCTCCTACCCATCATATCCCACACGTGCTCAATTGGGGATAAGTCGGGCGATTTTGGTGGACAGGGCAACAATGTGACATCATTATGTTGAAAGAAGTCTATTGTGACTCTTGCAACATGTGGTCGGCCATTATCTTGTTGGAAAGTTGGATCTGCCAGGGTGTCAAGATAGGTTAAAAGATAGGGTTCTAGAATTCCGTGGATATAACGCTGCGCGTTCATGTTACCTCTGATGAAGATTAAAGGTGACCTGGACCCATAAGCTATAGTATCACAAACCATAACTCCAACAGTGTGATGAACATATCTGGATTCCTCCTTTCATCACGTCGCCTTCTAACCCTGCCACGACCATCGTGCATGCCTAAACAAAATCGAGACTCGTCACTAAAGACAATACTGTTCCATTCCTGATCCCAGAGTGACCGTTGTCTGCACCACTCAAGGCGATTACGTCGGTGTTCTCGAGTTAAAGGGAGGACCCAGTGTGGCCGGTATGAAAACAAGCCAAAACTTCTCATTCGTCGGTAAAGACTTCGCATGCCAATAGGTCTTCCGTGTTCTGCAAACCATTCATTTGCAATGGACCCGGTAGTGGAGAAACGGTCCCTTAAGGCCAATAATCTTAGGCGGCGATCTTCACGGTCTGTTGTTCTACGGCGGCGTCCAGTGCCCCTTGCTCTTTGCGTACGGCCTTGTCGAAGCCATGCCTGACAACACCTAACCACAGTGTCTACACTTCTTTGCACTCTAACTGCAATTGCCCGAAAAGAAAGTCCAGCTTCCCGAAGTCCCACTATACGGCCCCTATCAAACTCACTAAGTTGACGAAGTCGTACAGGTCTCCGTACTCTAGCCATCGTAAAGGATGTCAAGAACCAAAATCCGCTAACGTTGATTCTTTACTGCGGCTGAAATATTCATTTTTAGAGCGTCAGTGAATTAAAAAAAAGCAGTATAAAAACCGGAATGTCCAACTGATAAGGCTGAAAATTTACAGTAAGATAAATACATTCACCAACTTTTATTAAAATAAAACCATTTAAACTGGGTGTTCGGATTTATATGTCACTTAGTATATTCCCAAATGTTAGATTGTGATTTATTAGTAATGAAAATCCTCTTTCTTTGGTTTCATACAGCCTTAGTTTCAACTCTTCATATGAATATCGTTCAAAGAGGTTTTTGATAGGGTGCCGTCCGTCGACCCAGTCAAAATAAATTATGTTTCTGAATCACAAAGTACTATCAGATGAAATCTGGTGTCGGTTTATGCTTACTCTTACAAACTATTGAGAAATAGAACCTCGTACACTGACATATTATTGAAGGTTGTCGGATGCGATTACTCAAATTTTTGCAATGTATCCTTTCAGTTGCCTCAAAATGCTCTTCAAACGCCTGCCCAGTGACAAACTAGTCTCTAATTCTAAATCCACGACCGCAAAAACCAATCTAACGCCCTCGGGACTCGAATGCTGGGCTTATTTTGAATTAGTCCTTAAGGAGACCTTGAAATGACCTTCGGATGACCTCGTAACGACTAATCGATCTCTAGCTTGATAAAAAGAAAAAATAAAATGATATGCGGTTGGGTTCAACAGCTTAGCTTCTTCTGAACATGTCCTTCATAAGACCTTTAGTCAGATTTATGTACCTTCCTTGAAGGCTTCCTTGGAAAGAATGGATCTCTCCTTGCAAACATGGAAGCAATGATACTTCCTTAAGGAACGTTCGTTGGAGAATATTTTCATTTCACAGTAGTCTGCAGTTGTCGTCACAAGCTGTCATCGATGCGAGAAAGATTTTTCTTTGCTGACCGTCTCTTATCCAGCATCTTTTGTTGATAATCATAACTGCAGGTATTTGAGCAATGAAATCCTCATGCTTTTGTAGAGGGGCATACGCAGTACCCAAAATAATGAATGTATGGATAGGCATCTTAGGCAACAAAGTAACTTGGCCATTGTTTATTAATGGTGATTTGAATAGAGACATTTATTCGTACATGTTGGAAAATACCATAAATCCGCTTATCACTGAAACCATTGAAAGCCAAATCGAATCACTATGTTCTTCCTGTTCGGCAATGACTAGATGGCGAGTTTCCAGATGAATGGATAGGGCGAAGAGGGCCTATAGAATGGCCTGCTAGATCTCATAAGACTTCTTTCTATATCAAAATAAAGCTGTTCGAAAAACCTTTCAAACAAGTTATTGCTTGACAACCCTTGTCATTCAAAATTTTTAAGGGGATGACCCTGTGGGGCAAAGTGTGAAATGTGATATAGTTGTGGTCAAAAAACTGCCTCCCTTGGCAAATCTCTTGGCGTGTTTCGGTAGTTTTCGATAAATTTGTGGCGGAAAGTTCTCAAATGAACACATAAACGATCTAAAACTGTCTGGCTTCATGATCATCTATTCAAACGACACTCCGGTAGTTGTCAGTGCTCCATCACCGAAAGACTTCCTACATCATTTCTTAAATGTAAATAAAGTGACTCGTGACTCTAGATGGCTGCCCCGCGCAGCGCTAGAGACCGACCCATCGGACTGCGTGGTGGTGGTGGGCGTGTCCAGACCTCGCGCCACCCTCGCCGTATTGGCCGTCCTGCTTCTGTCGCTCTTCCTCGCCTGTCACCTGATCTACGATTCCGCGCTGAGCGGACTGCGCAGGGGAGGACAGTCGCACCACTCGCACCAGCTACCTCACCGACCAGTTTTGGTGCTGCCCAGGAGGTTGTACCCTACTGCCGCCAGGAGGCTGCCGCAGGTAAGTTGATTTTTAACTAGGGAATCTGTATCGGAATACATTGCGAGTAGTGGAGGTAAATATGGACCATCTAACATATTATGTAATTTTTTGCACTTAGGGGTTGAGTAAGGGGAATTATTTTATCACAGCCTGCAACCTGCAACGACAACGTTAATTAACACAAAATATTTTATTTATAAAAGTAACATAATAATTCACTGTAAACAAAAACAAAACCCTTGCATGTGGACATACGTGAGTACGTTTGCTATTTTTCTAGAACGGAATAACAACGCCAAGAAATGCGAGTAGACCGACATATACAGGGTGTTTCAGTTTATTGTTGCATAACTTTAAGATTCGATAGAACTTTTAAAATTAATGCATAAAGTCTATATAAACATGGGTCGAAAAATGCGTGGCTTCCGAAATACAGGGTGTTTAAATTTACTTTTTAAAATAGTTTTTTTCAAATATTTTGAACAATATTTGATGTATAACAGTGAAAATTGGCATATAAGGGTTTTTTGGTGCGACAAAACGAACCATGAGCATAGTTTTACTGTAGCCGCTAGAGGGCGCTCTCTACTGTACCTGTAGTGTATTCAAATGACCGAAAAATTTTTCTTAGTGCAATTTTTTGCTTTTTGAACAAAAAAAAAACGATTCTTCGCACTTTTCTGCATAAAAAAGCTCTCCTTTGAGTTTTCGTTTTGTCGTACCAAAAAACCCTTGTATAGCAATTTTCACTGTTATACATCAAATATTGTTCGAAATATTTAAAAAAAACTATTTTAGAAAGTAAATTTAAACACCCTGTATTTCGGAAGCCACGCATTTTTCGACCCATGTTTATATAGACTTTATGCATTAATTTTAAAAGTTCTATCGAATCTTAAAGTTATGCAACAATAAACTGAAGCACCCTGTATAATACGCAACCCTATATTTAATAATAAAAAAGTTAAAGGGGAATCATCCGGTATAGAATTGAATATCAAACTTTTCCGGCAGGAGAGTATTTTCGACGAAAACTTGGACTGCTTTATGTGTTTTGTCTCAAATAATAAGATCACTTTTCCTTAATGAAATATTCTGACAAGGAGAGACGTTTTATGTAAATTGAAATACCTGATTCAAAAATTCAATGTATCTCTTAAAGTCAGTGACATAGAAGATATTCGTCTTGATTTGTCTCTCGAGGTGAAAACGTGTTGATGACTAACACTTGCAGGCAATCATAATGGGTGTAAGAAAATGCGGAACAAGAGCACTGCTAGAGATGCTATACCTGCATCCTATGGTACAAAAAGCATCAGGAGAAGTTCACTTCTTCGACAGAGATGAGAATTACAATAAGGGACTCGAGTGGTACCGGATGCAGATGCCTCATTCGTATCCTGGTCAAATTACTATAGAAAAGAGCCCTAGCTACTTTGTAACACCAGAGGTAAGTACCTACATGTGTCGATATAATTATAGTTAGTGTCACCAGGCAACCATGGTCAGCTGTCTCGTGCTATTTGGACCTCTTCAGCATAGTCTAGGCTTGTTTTCGATGAAAGAGCTCCCAGAGTATACGTTTTTTTTATCGAAATGAGACAAAATCGACCACTGAAAGTGGAACTGTATCCTAGTTCGCGTTGTCAGCCGCGTTTCCACTGTGGCCGCTAGATTATGATCTGGTTCGGAGTTTAAATTGCCAGTCTCTTGAGGTTTATCTTTAACTAATAGTTGAGATAGCATTTATTTGGGAATGTAGCTCTAACTTTGGCCCAAAGCGGTGCATACCACCGGAAGAGTACAGTGTATACTCGGTGTATCCAATTGGTACCATAACCATAGGTAGAAGTCTGTGATAAAAGAAAAACTATACTGATAACATTTATTATAATATACCTTTACCAACAGAAGAATCCACTTATAGGACGTTAAATTATATCATTTTTAACTGAAATTATGTGTCTTAATATATACTAAGTAACATATAAATCCGAACACCCAGTTTAAATGGTTTTATTTTAATAAAAGTTGGTGAATGTATTTATCTTACTGTAAATAACAAGTGAAAAAATTTTCAGCCTTATCAGTTGGACATTCCGGTTTTTATACTGCTTTTTTTTAATTCACTACCGCTCTAAAAATGAATATTTCAGCCGCAGTAAAGAATCAACGTTGGCGGATTTTGGTTTTTGACATCCTTTACGATCGGTTACGATGCCTAGAGTACGGAGACCTGTACGATTTCGTCAACTTAGTGAGTTTGATAGGGGCCGTATAATGGGACTTCGGGAAGCTGGACTTTCTTTTCGGTCAATTGCAGTTAGAGTGCAAAGAAGTGTAGACACTGTGGTTAGGTGTTGTCAGGCATGGCTTCGAGAAGGCCTTACGCAAAGAGCAAGGGGCACTGGACGCCGCCGTAGAACAACAGACCGTGGAGATCGCCGCCTAAGATTATTGGCCTTAAGGGACCGTTTCTTCACTGCCAGGTCCATTGCAAATGAATGGTTTGCAGAACACGGAAGACCTATTGGCATGCGAAGTGTTTACCGACGAATGAGAAGTTTTGGCTTGTTTTCATACCGGCCACACTGGGTCCTCCCTTTAACTCGAGAACACCGACGTAATCGTCTTGAGTGGTGCAGACAACGGTCACTCTGGGATCAGGAATCGAACAGTATTGTCTTTAGTGACGATCTCGATTTTGTTCAGGCATGCACGATGGTCGTGCCAGGGTTAGAAGGCGACGTGGTGAAAGGAGGAATCCACAGTTTTTTGTTGAAAGACATGTTCATCACACTTTTGGAGTTATGGTTTGGGGTGCTGTAGCTTATGGTTCCAGGTCACCTTTAATCTTCATCAGAGGTAACATGAACGCGCAGCGTTATATCCACGAAGTTCTAGAACCCCATCTTTTACCCTATCTTGACACCCTGGCAGATCCAACTTTCCAACAAGATAATGCCCGACCACATGTTGCAAGAGTCACAATAGACTTCTTTCAACATAATGATGTCACATTGTTACCATGACCACCAAGATCTCCCGACTTATCCCCAATAGAGCACGTGTGGGATATGATGGGTAGGAGATTGCTCAATTTGCAACGTCCTCCTCAGACTCTAGAAGCACTTCGAGAAGAGTTGGTGGTTGCCTGGAATGAGATACCACAGGAGGACATTGACCACCTGATCAGAAGCATTCCTAGGCGCGTTGGAGAATGCGTAGCATATCAAGGTGCATCCACACATTATTAAAGGTCAAAGGGCTTTAAACCAGTGCAATCATTTTGAAATTTTTATCATTTACTTATTATGCTTCATTAAGTACTTATACAAAATTTTATTAAAATAAAACCATTTAAACTGGGTGTTCGGATTTATATGTCACTTAGTATAGAATCAAGACATATTTTTGATCATCATTAAAATATGAATCAAATTCAAAGACCGTAGAAATTGCGCCCCTACTCTGTATGATAATCACAATAGAATTTGCTGCGCAAGTCATTCAGTATCAGTAGGTTTAACATATACCTGCGTACGAAATTCACATTCTCGCAACCTTAATAGGAGCGATAATTGTTAGTTATTACATCAACAACATGTTCTGCTTTCCGATAGGTTCCAGAACGTATTCGAGCGATGAACTCCAGCATAAAGCTCTTGTTGATCGTCCGCGAGCCCGTAACGAGGGCCATTTCGGACTACACGCAATTGCGCGCTAACGCCGTTGCAGCCTCCCCTTCGGGACCGCCCCTGGCTGCCCCCGTCGCCGCCGCCCAGCCGCCCAAATCGTTCGAGCAGCTCGCCGTCTTCCCGAACGGTACCATCAACGAAGCTTATCGACCGCTGGCTATTTCCGTATATCACAACTATCTTCACAGGTGAGACGTTTGTCACTTTTTGTCCATATAAACTCTGTACACGGCGAATATTGTGTCCATGAAAATAGCGCTACCGACACTGACGCTAAACTCTATCCAAGGTAAGATAGAATAGATGTAAACATATTTATTTTAGTCAATATCTTAACCTTTCAGTGGTCGCGCTAATTTTTAGCACACTAGTGGTCGCTGCGGACTCCTAGTCCACACGTAAATAATTTATTTTTCTTTGCCCTTAAAAACCAATTATGATATTAAAACAACTTCGTAGTACACATAAATTTATTATAAACAATTTATGACAAAAAAAAAACAGTAATATTGATAAGTTCTAGGGGACTAGGGCTTATATTGTGATATGGTAACTTAGGATATTATAACTCTAAAATTAATTAACTAAATTAAATAAAAAACAAGAAAAAACTAAAAAACATTTACAAAACGTGAAAATAACAATTTAGACTTCCCACGAGGCTGTTTAAAAGCACTCTGGACAAATAATGAGAGCGTGCTGTGGACATAAAAAAGTGTGACATTTCTTACAAAAATATCGAGTACGTCGATTTCTTTTTCTGTCACACATAGAACAACGCCCCGTTTGATTTGTTTGAGAAGTTTCTGGTGACACCACAGCTTCTATTTCAAGAATATCTCCAATTCTATGTTTTTTTATCTTTGTAAGTTAGACAAATTGTAACGGTTTCTTAGGTGATCATGCAGTAATTCGAAGGTCAGTTTACGCACACAACAAAGGTTAATCGGTTTTGAAAATATTGGCGAAAAACAGAAAATGTCGAATTTGGTTTTTGGTCAGTAAATCAGAAACGGTTAATCTGACAGCTGACATTATTAAGACATTTCTTAAGGTAAATGAGATAGCGTATATAACATGTCTCAATCCTCCTTTGTTTTCCCGCAACCTGTCTTAACTTTCATTTTTCTTATGGCTGCCATTTTGGGTTTTTGGATTTCTGAAAAGAGCGTAAAGTTTCCAGGTTAGTGATGCTTCACAAGTGCATAAAAAATTGGAGTATCATCATTTTGACAGCTGTTAAATTAACCGTTTCGTATTTATTGACAAAAAACGAAATTCGACATTTTCGGTTTTTTGCCGATATTTCCAAAACCAATTGACCAATCGCAAATCTGAAGCCTTCTGTCGAATGCACTTAGTTTCCTACTAAAACTTTCTCCATTTAACCTTTGCTGTAAGTATAACATTAGTCGGGATCCCTGTATACAGGGTGTCCGCAAAGTTGGGGTTGTCCTTTTCAGAAACAACTACCCTTGAAATAACAAAGGTAATGTGTAGTGAAACGAGGGCGACCAAGTAAAAAAAAATAAAGGAAAAAGTACTCACTCTCCAGTTGAAGAGAAGGGCTAAGTACGTCTCTGCCGAAATAATACCGCTCCAACAGAAAATGAAATCAGCTGATGCGCTACCGAGCAGACGCAGGCGGTGGTGCAGACCACGAACAGAGGTAACAAATATGACGGCGTTGCCGCGTTTTCAGTTTTTAGGTAAACGTACTTTATAGGTATTGTTCGAAGTTATCGCTGTTTGATTCAAAAACACAGGTGCGTGCACGATGTAGCCAAGCATCGGTGCAGGCTTTAAGAATGGAGTCCCTCCCCCGAATGAAAGCACCAGCTTGTTCAATTCTGAGACGAAGTTCGAAAACCGTATGCACTTCAGTTTTGTACACTAAGCGTTTCATTTCTCCCCAAAGAAAAAAATCACATGGTGTTAAGTCTGGAGATCGCGGAGGCCACGCTATGGGTCCATTACGTCCGATCCACCTATTCGGAAATAATTCATTCAAAAACTCATGCACTTCGCCTCTAAAATGGGGCGGTGCACCATCGTGCAGAAACCACATTGATTGTCTTACACTTAATGGCACATCTTCTAACAAGGAAGGCAAAATGTTGCGTAAAAAGTCTAGGTATTGCATCCCGTCCAATCGATTTGGGAGATTAAATGGTCCAATGAGCATACCGTTCACCATGCCAGCCCAAACATTCACCGAAAATGTTTGTTGAAAAGACATTCCTCATAAATTAACAACATATCAACGAGTTCATTATTGGTGTATGAGTGTGCCATTATTATTTTTTTTTTTGAAACGCAATCGATTATACGGGTTCGTTTACCTCTACACGCGTGACCGTAACCGTCGGTTGAAGGTTGCATACTGACCTGACACACTGACCCCGACCCAGTTCTGTCGTCGGGTTGAGCCGGTGACCTTGTACCACTCGGTGATGTCGCGGGTCGCGGCTACAGGACGGTATTCAGATATTTTTGATGTTGCAGAGCCCTTATCTCGGTTCCCTTAAGACATTGGTGTATATGGTACTAAGAAAAATTGTTTATGTTTTCAAGATCTACACGTCGTGTAAAGGAAAATCCCAACTTTGCGGACACCCTGTAGAGAAGCAAATCTGGGACACACTGTATGTGTATGATTCATCAGAGTAGAGACTAAAAAAGCAACATAAAATAAATGTATGTATAAAACAATCAAAACAGACAGATAGATAATCACAAAATAACAAACTCAGAGACGGCATAAGATTTACCTGCAATAAATTCTTTAAGCTTAGCCTTAAAATTATGTATTTCTCCACACTCTTTAATGTGATTTAGTAGCCTATTAAAAATACGTAGACCCAGTATTTCTGAAGATTTGACGCCGAATTTATACTTGACAAAAGACACATTTAGGTCCCCAGCTTGTCTGATCGAGTACGAGTATAATGATTTGAAAAACTATTTTTGTTGATAAACGTATACACAGCAATTTCGTATGCAAATAATGATAGTAAAGCTGTCTATTAGTGAGTCCGATCATACTCTCTTCTGGGAGAAAAATGCTTGCTGGGCATTTGTGGATAAACCCCAGAAGCATAGGGGTATCAACTTGAGCATAATAAACAGAAACTAGCTATGCTTCAGTAAGAATCGTTCGAAAATCTCTCATCAGATATGATTGAAGATTTATCTAACCTCATCTGCAGTTAATGTGGACAGAAGCATAGACTGAGTATTCCTAACTATATTACGATACAATTTCTGTTTTTCCCAAATCATCAACTATACTTGGCACTTTTGAGGAATAATGTATATCCGGCAATTCCTCAACTCTTCCTTTCAAGCTGATATCACAATCGTCACGTATATTTTGTTTCTGAATTTTTTCTTACATATGGACCAAAAACATTTAACCTTGTTATCTGACCATTTTTTATTACCAGGTGCTCGTGTTCAGTCGCTGATCCTCTACACGGTGGTTTTTGACGAAAATAATGAAAAGAAACTTTGAACAACGTGGGAAAATACTAGTCATCATCGCGATATTGTTAGTTCCTTGATCGGCGACTGTTATACTTGCTGCAACACACTTCTTAAACGGCTCCTCATTCGATAAGAAATAGACCTTCTCTTCAACAATGCACCTAAAGGTTGTTTCTTAAATTTCTAGGTGGTTGGAAGCTTTTCCCCGAGAGCAAATTCTCATAGTCAACGGCGATCTGCTGATAGAAGATCCCGTATCACAAGTACAGAAAATTGAAACGTTTCTCGGACTGGAGCCAAGGATAGGCACGCATAATTTCTATTTCAATGAGACTAAGGGATTTTATTGTCTCAGGAACGAAACGTCGGACAGGTGAGACACATAAAGTTCTATTATTTAATCATTATAACCATCCCAGTGGACAGTTACGGTATCCGGGACCTCGCTTTTGAAATCAAGCAATGGTTGCTTCAATAACGAAAACAGCATTTCTTTTACTTAACTGACAGTTATGTATTGCTGTCACTAATTTTGGAGTTATGAAACTTTTTCCTCATTTGAGTTTGATCATTTTTTGGGACACCCTATTACACATATACCAAACAATGCGTGATGACAGTTCATAAGATATCATATATATACGAAAAACAAAGTAAAATCAGCAATTCGGTAGCTGCGAGATTGTGAAAGCGAAACGGAAGAATTCTTAACTTTTATTAGCCTTTCGCACGAAGTCGTAAAGGCTTTATCTTCACAACTGATTTCTTTGGTTTATTAGCCACAATGAACATCACTTTTAATCATTTCTCTAAGGCCTCATGCTACTAAACTACTTGTTATAGGGAGATTTGAAAAATATTGAGCAGGACAAATTAATGTAAAATTCGTTACAATTTCTGACGGAGCATTTAGAACAAATCTTTCTGGCCTGCGCTACAGAAGTATCTGGCAAGAAACCCTACACCTGACTCCAAATGAAGAAAAAGTGTCAGCAAAATGCTACCTCTTCAGAAAACAGCTGAATTTATTCATCGATCTTTGTAGTACTTATTGCCTATTCGTTAACTAGATTTCAACCGTCTTCAGCGGATTTCTGCAAACAACATAAAACAATGCAATTCTGGAATTTTGATTACTAAAAACTGAAAAACCTAATCGAATTTTCTGCGGACTTTGTATACGTATTCATGCAGGGTGGCGCATCGAAAACGAAACAGACGCATTTACTGGCAGCTCAGTTTTTTTTTTGAAAAATGCTCAGACCCGTCGATTTTGTTTTAGAGGGGGACTCAAGTTTGGCAAAAAATCACGTTATTACGTGCAGCCCCCTGGGCGGGGATGACACGACCCCCAAAATCTTAAATGGAAAGGGGGGTCGAGTGATACCTTATTTTAAAGGTCTTTCAATTCTCTTTATAATGATATAAAATTAATGTACTTCAGTTCAGTAGTTTTGAAGATTTATTGATTTAAAACTAATACATCATCATTAGTGGAGATCTGAGCGTTTTTCAAGAAAAAAAACAGCTGCCAGTAAATGCGTCTGTTTCGATTTGTTGTTTCTGCTTTCTTCTGTTGGGAATCAAGAGCATTTTTCTGATCTCAGATGCAACATATCTGATTTTTGATGTTTGCTTAGCCGTTTTAAATTGACAGCCTCATAGTGAATCGAAGTTTCATACACAGGTGCTTGAGGGAGACAAAAGGCAGGAAACATCCACGAGTGGACGCGAACGTCATATCAAAATTGAGGAGGTACTTCGGTGAGCATAATCAGAAATTTTACGAACTTATCGGTGAGGAGATGGGATGGCCAGAAGAATAGGACACTAACTAGACTAGGTTAACTGTTTGTTTTCGTTTTTCTAACTAGGTTGTTGGTAGCTCGGTCCTGGCTGGCCCAAACCTGTACTAGAAGTTTAAGTAAGGATTGTTTTGGAGGTTTTTCTTTTATCTGATATTCAAGTGAAAACTATTGCAAACTGCCACAGCTGCACAGCTGGACCACCCTGGATATTCCCATTATTTTCACGAGTCTAATCTAGGTTTGCTTTTCGGCGTATTATTTTCAGTCTACCCCAAATCTTGACAATGCCAATTATATATAATCTTTCATTGGATGGCAAATCATAATAAACCTGAAGTTCTGTTGTAAATCGGATAGCCTTCTAAGCATTTGGGAAATTACTCGAGAAATCGCCGTACAACGTCTTCGGAATTACCCAAATGACCGAAGTTTCGTGTACACTTTTACAAAAGGCGCGACCATAACTCTGATAACTCAAACGGAAACCGAGATTACGGGAAATGAAGATAAAACGTCCGAAACCCTGGAAGTTTGCCGCGAATAGGCGGAAAACTTTTAGCTTTTCCGCCTGTTATTTGTCACTTAAAAAAGTTTTAATACATCGGTGTATGTGTAGCGAAGTTTGCAGCAGGTGTAAGTTATTTAAAGCTGCGAAATGATTGCGACTAAACTTCTAGACAGCCACTTTGGAGCAGACTTGAGCTAATTCAGATTACCGAATTGCTTTCTCTTAATGTATATCATTTAGCAAACGTTCTAATCCGTTCGCCAGGACCAAGCGCGTTAGGAAATTAGTCTCAGGTGAAGCGGCTATGGCAAAGTTGCACTCAGAAAAATGTTACTTACTCTTTACCTAAAAATCGTTCATGGATGCCAAAAGAAACCTTAACAGAAGGATGATTCTTCAAATTGGTCACGTCATGACTTCTATATTTAGGGCAAAATATTGTCTCAGCATTGAATTTCTTGTGTAAGATTTTTAAGGGCAACGATCAGATTTCGTCAATATCAAGAACTATCTTAATCGTGATATTAAATTTATTTAATTATACATGCCTTAAACATTTTCGTAAAACATGAAAGAATAACCACCAACGTGCGCGGGGGAATTCAAACTAAATTGTTCTAAGGCGATCTGTGAACTTTGTCACATGGGAATGGGTTCCAACACTCATTAACAATGATCCAATGGGGTGAAGACCAAGTATATCAAAACTAGGTTCTTTTGAATACAATTCTTTTGAATTGACTAACGGTTCCATAAGGTTTTTCAGAAGACCTTCTAATTATCCAAAAACGACTTCATCTCTCATAAAGCATTTTCGAATCCAATACAATCTTTTCTGGGTCACAAAGACCGCTCGCTCACTGTGAAGTATTCATTTTGTTTGCAAAGGACTGAGACGACTAATGCAAATCTAGAATCGATATCTATCGATCCATCCTATCCATATTTGAACTACAACAATACCATACAACCTCACCTGACAATGTTGACAATATGAATAAAATGGTTTGTATAAGCCAACCTTCTATCAGTCCGTCAACATCTGATCTGCTTGGAATTAGGCTGATTAGTTATAGCTTTATCAATCTAAAATCCATTTCATGACTTGATTAACACGAGAAATATTTACTTCTCGGTTCCCCAAGGGAACTGTCACTGTAACAAATTATTAACGGCGCTTGATGAATACAAGAGTATCAGTATCCAAGTATATGAGCCAGTATCATTGAAAGACAAAAAATGCAAACATACGTTGTCAAAAAATTCCAACTTGAAACGGTTTTACGAGTGCAGCTTCCTATCCCACTTCTCCTTCAAGTATTTTTGCTCAATTACACTAACAATATTTTAAAATGTTTTCGATTGCTGCGAGCCCCAAAATTCGACCCGAGCAACGCGCATCTCATAAAAAGCACCAAAAATAGGTTGATTAAAGATAAAAGACACTGTGATAAAACCATTCACTAACTCTATGTAGCATATACACAAAACAGATTTAGAAAGGGTTGAATTTCGGAGAGCGCGTTTTTTCTTTATATTTGACAAACTCTAACAAATACATATCATAAATTACATATCTATTCAGAGAAAAATAAACGAATTACATTAATATAAATTGAGTCTATATGTGTACATTGAATTAACAAAGTGTGTTGTATGAATATATAGACACTCCTCTATTTTGGGTATCATACAGCGCATAAAATATATAACAGGTAAACGAAAGAAATTAACAGTGGGCAGCTTAGTGACGCGATTTATTGATTGGACGAGAGAACAGGTTTTCATGTCAGTGATCGTGATAGTATTTCTGTAACAACAGGAGACTGCACAACGCCCAGTATTTTCTAAAATCAGGTATGCTACATATCACCATTTTTTTCTGATGAGACATTATCATTACAGGTTTGTTTGAAAAAACGTGTATATTTATTTAAAGATCATTTGATCATGTTGTCGACAATTTCGAACTATTTTACCTTCAGCATTCTTCTTATATTCACATTTGCACTAAGTCTTCATATTTCTGGAAATCTACGTCAACAACGTCAGTTCAACATCCTTCAGTAATTTTTGATGCAACAACTGGAAATAAATATCAGTTAAAAATGTGATGCTTGTTCAAAAATATCCTGTAAAACCATGAATCCAGCTGCTGAAAACTGACATGCCTAAAAATTGTTGGTTTTTTGGGTTGTGCATTTTACTTCTTAAATATTCTACATGACTTGCATATCACCAAGTAACCTGATATACGACTGACTGGTGTAAATTTTATTTAAACATTAAAAGTGTCAACTTCGATCGTGTGTTTTTGTCCATATCTTGTCCAGCGATAGATTTTTTGATGGGTGCTCAATATATTCGTACAACACATGCATTTGTGTGGACCGGAATTTTCAGTTGGATCATATTGATCAGTGCCTTTAACTAATTTCGGTTTTAATTTTGTGTAGTCCACATTGGAACAAGCAATGTGAAATTATTCAATACATGGCAGACATAAGAACAATCCAGACTGGTCGCGATGAAGCACGAAAGTTACCAGTTACCGTCTTAGTATATTTTTGGGAACATAGTGAATCGGCTATTTCAATTATTTTCTACATCATTGTCGCATTTTGACATTATCAAGTACTGACTGACGAATATCTTGCAATACATAACAGCCTCTTTGTTATGCATTTCAAAAATTCTTCTTCTGTTAACTCCAAGAACTATAAGAGAAAACCGCGCTGACATTTTTGAAGACAAAAAATATACAGACAGCTGATCGCTGCATCAGAAACTTACATAATAGAATATTCCAGTTAACAAGGATTTTCTAACTCAACGTTCGTCTCCCTGGGTTCATAGACAACCAACAGGGTTTGAGGGCTTTCGACATTTATTTGTCATATGCTCTCCGATATGTTTTTTGAACAATGCAAAATAACGGCATAGTATACATTGACGTTTTTGCCTTTTTCCATCACAGCATTTTGGCTATTCACCTAAGTAAAGAGTAATCTATATCTTTCGAGAAGAACAATAATTACGAGAGGTACTACCTAGACATGAAGCAAAACACGTAGGATTTTCTTTGAATATTCTTTCCCTTACATATTTTCTTTTCGCTATCAAAAAATCTTGACTATCTGACTCAAAACGGCGTCTTCGAAGATTTTCCTTGGGCAATCTGAAAAGATAAAAGTCAAATGGAGCCAAGTCTGGACTATAGCGAGCATGGTGCATCTCAACGAAGTTGCGTTTAGTCTAATTTTGGCAGCTTTGTGCATGGTCTCGATTGCAAAAGTCTGGTCTTTTCTGCTTAATTGTTTTACGTAAACTTTTCAGCGGGTTTTTCGTAGACCTCCGCATTTATTATCTCTTTTGGCATATATTCAATAAGGGGCATACCTCTGATGTCCCAAAAAGCTGTAAATTTCTTCACCATGATGAAAATGTTTTCTGTACCGAATCTTTTGACATTGACAGTTCGGTAATTGATTTAAAAGTGCGTTCACAGTGAAAGTTCAAAGTTGCCAAGTCCCTTTTGGAAAACCTGATAGCAGTGATGCTGACTCGAAGCTTGACAACTAGTCCACCATTAACATTTCTTGCTGAGTGTATATATCTTACCAATCTTATCACTTCTAAATACTCTTGGAGAAAAAACCAAAAAAACCATGCATGATTCTATCAGCTGAATAATTACTAGCTCTTCCTTTTTACCGCACTTTGCTTTAATGAGAATTGCCTACCGCTATGAATGATTAAAACCTAATTATCCAAGTTACATCGAATGGCAGTAGATTCAACTTTCATTAATAAAATCAATTTACTTTGTTCGGCATATTTCCAGTCCGTTTTGTTACAATGTAACATTGTTATCCGATCCATCAGAATATGGAGAGAAGACATCCGTAGAATATAAATGTAGACACCGTTTTTTGCCTGTTTGTAACTTCACTTTCTTACATTACAAATATGAATCATGTCAAGGTTAGATGGTTACAACGGGTTCAAGATGAATATAGCATAACTGTATTTGAAGAAGATTGAAGTTTCAATGTCGTTTAAATGAGTGATTTATTGTCTAAGAAATATAGAAATATGTTTGCGCGAAGTTGTGAGAGGACAAATACATACTCTACAAAAATATGTCATAAATTTTTTATTGGTGAAATATAGGCTAAAAATCGTATCTATTTTTGATAAGTGTGTCGTCCTTGAAGTTAACCTTTGAGGTAAAGAGCGATGTATTGGATAATTTCACTAGCTGGGAAATTATTTATAAAGATATTTCAAGCATGATCAACTTACCTATATTATTGTATGATTATTATAGTTAATTAAAAAGCAATAGTAGGTATGTTATTTAGTATACACATGTTTATAGAGATGAGTTTTTACCCTGAGCTTTAGCGCAATCTCACCGAAGACGTATTTATTTTATGGTACTAAATAGGGTCACATTCTATGGGTGTAGGTTAAGGATATCTAGTCATAAATAAGAACAAAACGGAGGCTGCTAGGAAAAAATACATATCAAATTTGATAAAAGCACATATCAAAAATGTGATGAATATATTTTTTGTAAATAGTGTAAATTAAAATATTTATTTATATATTTATTAGATTATATTTTTTGTTATTGTTATACGTTCGTGTGGATGAGTAGACATTTTTGCTTAAAGGTATGTTACAGTTATATGAACTTTATCGTTAGAGATCACTGATAATTTGCATTGCTTATATCGCATTAACAACATCTACTTACAGAACATTAGTACAGTATCTACGTATTAAAAGTAAGAATCAGGTAGCAATTCCGTGTTACTCAGGTAGGTTGTCGCCTTTCAGTTTATTATTATTAATGAAATTAATAAATTATCGTTTAAAAGACAAAAAAATCACGCTTTAATGGCAAATCGGAGTAAAAAGTAGAAAATAGTCACTGCAATTGAAAGTCCAACAATCAAGAATGAATAATTTATTTGGAGTAAGGTCAATATTAAAATTAATATATGAACAAAAAAATTCAATTGTAGTGCTTGATTTTTAATGTTAAAATAATTTCGTTTAGTTGCTATTTACAAAACTGGAGTTATGAATATTAATAATTCGTATAAGGTTAATATCTTAATTTTTATATTGATCTTATTCCTGATTAGTTGTTATACTTGATTTTTGGACTTCCTATTGCCGAAACATAGACTTTCCTTACTTGAAAATTGTTTTTTGCATTTTAGTTCGATTTCCTACTAAAGTGTGTTTTCAGTTTTCCTAAAAGATAATCTATTTTCTGAATGTTTAGTCCCAAAACGACAACAAAAGTTCGTATATTCAAGAGCTTAGATTTTGTGATAAATTTCATGTTTAATTCTAATTTTTTTCAAATTTCGAAATTTCATTTTTTTTGTTTACAGAACTTCAAATTGTTTTCAAAATATCCGAATTGCTCAATTCTTTTTCAATATTTGAAATCCAATTTTTCCCTGATTTCAAAATTCAATTTTTTTAAAAATTTACAAATTTGATTTTCAGGCTTTTGAAATTGAGTTACAAGTCAACCTAATAAAGGTGTGTTTTAAAACGCACTGTCGGCGCATACATATTGAAGTCTTTTGTAATGTCGGACAATGAAATGGCCAAATCACGTTGAAAAATGCATGATGCGTGAAGAAATAAAAGTATTTGAGGGAGCTATTTATACAATACAAACTTTTGTTGCAGAATACGCATTGACGTGAGATCCAAACCATGTGTGCCCATAGAGGTAGGCCATTGGGGCCGTGACCCCCTCTAGGAATCTTACTACCTCATAAAATTTGCATACCTAGCTTTGTTTGTTGCCTTCTCTGAGAACGCTTACCTTCCCTCACCCTTTGAAAATTTTTGGGTCTGATACATAATACTAATACACAAAAAATTTCCCCTTGCCGATCTCTAATCGAACCCCTGATAGAAAGTCTTGCGGGGGCCCATGATTCAAACTATCCAAAAAATAATAACTATTAGTAAAATACCCTTTCAGGGATGGACATTTTCAAATGGAAGTTGATGATTTCAAGTTGACATTACAGCTCAAAAAATTTATATACAGGGTGTCCGCAAAGTTGGGGTTTTCCTTTTCAGAAACAACTACCCTTGAAATAACAAAGGTAATGTGTAGTGAAACGAGGGCGACCAAGTGAAAAAAACTAAAGGAAAAAGTACTCACTCTCCAGTTGATGAGAAGGGCTAAGTACGTCTCTGCCCGAAATCATACCGCTTCAACAGAAACCACATTGATTGTCTTACACTTAATGCCACATCTTCTAACAAGGAAGGCAAAATGTTGCGTAAAAAGTCTAGGTATTGCATCCCGTCCAATCGATTTGGGAGAATAAATGGTCCAATGAGCATACCGTTCATCATGCCAGCCCAAACATTCACCGAAAATGTTTGTTGAAAATGTGCCCGACGGACAGCGTGCGGATTTTCTACTGACCAAACATGAGTGTCGCGAAAATTATTCACCCCATTACGCGTGAACGTAGATTCGTCTGTCACCAATATGCACTTCAAGAAGTCCGGATTATTGTCATGTTGATGCAATAACCACTCACAAAACCGCACTCTTGCTGGAAAATCGTCAGGTTGAAGGGCTTGTACACGTTGGACGTCAAACGGATACAGCCCCTCTTCACGCAGCATTTGCCACACTTTAGTTTTTGATACTTGAACTTCTCTAGCCACGTCTCTAGTACTTGTTGAGGGATTCTCGTCTACGCGATTACCTCTACACGGGTGACCGTAACCGTCGGTTTTTTGTCCATACTGACCTGACACCCTGACCCCGACCCAGTTCTGTCGTCGGGTTGAGCCAGTGACCTTGTACCAGTCGGTGATGTCGCGGCTACAGGACGGTATTCAGATATTTTTCATGTTGCAGAGCCCTTTATCTCGGGTCCCTTAAGACATTGGTGTATATGGTACTAAGAAAAATTGCTTATGTTTTCAAGATCTGCACGTCGTGTAAAGGAAAACCCCAACCCTGCATAATAAATAAAGCGCTACAATAGAGTGCTTACAAGAAACGAATTTGATATGTTTTATTGCAAGAACCGAATCAAAAACGTCACTACAATTAGTAGTATTGTCACTAGGGAACCGAAATGCATAACTTGCTCAAATTAGTACGATCATTTGACATAGACATCGAATAATACAAATAATTGAAACTTGACAAGGCTGTGAAAGAATTATTGATAGAAGCATTATTGATACATAGAAATGGAATGGATTGGTATAATTTTTTTAAATATATACGTTGGTAGATTGATTTGTTCAGAATTGATTTGAAACCGATCAGTACTAGAAAGAATTTCGCAGGCTGACAATACTGACGGCGAAGCAAAGCCTAGTAAGCAAGTTCCAAAATTCTTTATGCCGATATCTCAGTCCAACATCAACATTATTTGTGTGATTTCTCTTGCATGCCAAGAAATACGTAGATTTTTCATAAGTTGCCGTGTTCACATCAGGGTTTTTTCTAAAGGAAAGAGGTGGCTATAAAACAGTTACAAGACAGCTACAAAGCTGGAGAAGAGCGAACAGGTTAAAATCCCATAAAAATGGAGGCGATAGCATCCAAACCAAACCAACTAAACGTAAGGTGGGTACAAGAAGAGGTGCTACTCCATAAACTGGTGATTGGGGCCAAATATCGCTTCATCCGTAAATGTTCACCCACCCGAATTCCAAGAGAAGTTCCGCAGCCAAACCTACACAAAGAACATCACTGGTTGCCTACGGGTAGACCTCTGGACCATATTGTTTTCCAAAATAATGTTGCGTGTAAAGTGGTCTACGAGCGACCAATGATATTTTATGTTGAAATTTCTGAGATAGTCGTTAATAAAATAGACTTCAATACAGTAATGAGCCGCTAAGGAAGAAAGATGTGAAATCATACTTTCAAGCTTAGGTAATTTCAAGCGCAATATATCAATAAAATATGAAATTTGCCTAAAGAAAATCATTAAAAAGGGTTTGGCCTAGTGACCAAAACAGCAAAACAAAGGATTACGTGAATTTGGCACGTTACAAGGAACTCCTGCATTTCAGTTTGCGAGATTTTCGATCAAACGCACTTATCAAAATGGCGGCCCTATCATGTGACGCTAACTTATTATTAGGAAGCAACGCAACAATGTGTTTAGGTATTTACACTTTGGAACAAGATTATCCATAAATATCAGAGTTGATCTTGTTGACGTTGTCTTCTCAGAGCTCGCTTAAGCAATGCAAACTGTTAGACGATTCAAGAGGTTTTGTAAACATGCATATAAAAGACATATTTTCTAAAAAGTATATGTATACCTTCGTACCTATCTACAAATATCCATATTTTTATCCCTTGTATTATCCTTGTATCTGTCAACTCTGCTATGTCTCGTATGGTATTCTAATAACTAATTCTAGTCTGTCACTTTTTAAATGTCGTAGAGTGTAGTAAGTCCAGAAAGATACCTTACAGTGTTTACAAAACTATTTATTGTTAGATTCGACGGATAGATGTACCTATACGATCAGTTGATTAGTCGAAGTGTTTTACTGAGTCGGCGTATACCCTGGAATTCCACGTATATACGAAGAAGCGAACCTGTGCCATACCTTGAACCACGTGTCGAAATATCCTGCTAAGGGGTGATAGATTAGGTCAAGAGCAACCGGTTTTGTCCTATAATGTCCTATCCAGAAGTTAACCGTTTTTGAGTTATTTGAATTTTATTTTTTTTTTATTTTTTATTCCGATTTCAGACGTTTAAATTTGAAATACACAAAAACTACATGCTTGATTTTGAGTTTTTTGTTATCGTCGCATAGCGGACATTCCAGTAGCTCATAATAAGTAATAAAATGTTGAAAACTTACAAAAGTTTTAAAATTACGCTTTTGAAATGTATGATTTTCTTATTTTTTTACTTATTCGATAAAAAATGCAATTTTCTGTAAAAAATCTCCTAGTAATGAAATATGCAAATTATATAAATAATACCTCTATCTAACAAGCTTTCATTTGAGGTATAAAAGTTACAACTAACTCAAGTACAAAGACATAAAATTAAAAAAAGATGAGTAAAGTTGTACGAACGATAATTACGTAGGGTAAATAACAGGCTTTTATTTTGATTACAGTTCTATTTAATTACATTTCCTTTAGTATTTTACAGATTCTGCTCAAATTGTAATCCCCTGTTACGACTACACGCCCGCATCCTCTTACGTAATTCACTTTTGGTAACTCTAGTTGTTAAGCGGCTTTTTATTTGGTCAGCTGCACTGATTATCCTTGCAATTAATTCATCGCGCGTTGGTACGGGCGGAAACATCGTACACCAGGCTTTTCATATGTCCCCACACATAGTAATCCATCGGTGTGAGATCTGGGCTTCTTGCTGGCCAGGCAATGGGCCCGCCTCTGCCAATCCATTGATTTGGAAATTTAGAGTCTAAATACGCCCGTACTAATCTACTGTAGTGTGCGGGACAGCCGTCGTGCTGGAATCGCATATTTTGTCTCGTCGCCAATGGGACGTCTTCCATTAATGGAAACAAGTGATTTTTCAAGAACTCTTCATACACTTCTCCATTTGAATTGGCGTGCAGAAAATGAGGTCCAATTAAATATCTATCAATGCATCCAGACATTGACTGAAAACCGGCTCTGAGACCCCGTCGGTCTTATTTTTCGGGGGTTTAAAGCTTCTTTATCAGCCCAGTAATGAGCATTATGGTAGTTAGTGATCCCGTCCTCATCAAACTTCGATTCATCGGTCCACAGAATTTTCTTAAAATAGTCTGGATCTTCTGTATCTGCATGTAACATGTACCTGCAGAAATCTAATCGTCTTTCAGGATCGCCATCTTCGATCACATGCACAGGCATGCAGTGTAGTGCAGTATGCCCAGTAAACCATACTTTGTATTGTGATGTACCCAACTGAGCAGCCACAATGCGCGTAGACGTAGTAGGGTCTTCCTGAAACACACGAAGGATTTCCTCTTCATCTTCAGGAGGATAGACTCGGGGTCGACCAGCATCACTATGTTGCCTTTGAACACGTCCGGTTTGGCGGATGCGCCGATACGCAGAGTCAAACACAGTAACATGAGGTGTTCGGCGATTCGGGAAACGTTGCCGATATTCACGGCGGGCAGCTGCAGAATCGCCGTTACAAAGTCCAAATCAGAACGTTATGTCTGCGTATTCTTCATTTGTAAAAGTTTGCCCGTGCTCGCTATGGCGAGGTCCTGGCGGATCTTCTGCGGCTGCCATGATCAGAAAGGAACCACGCGAAATGAGCTGGGAAACTCGAAAATAATAATCGTGCGTAAAACGTGTGCGCGTACGCAACTAAACCTGATTCTCACTCGGCGTGCGGCGATGGCGTAACTACAATGATGAATAATAACAGCTCTCTCTCTCTCACTCCTCCTCTAAGTCAGCTCTTCTCGCTCGCTTCCTCGTCGAGCCGATGCCATAAAACAATCATGGCATGCGAGTCCTTTGAGGACATTAATGACTTGTTCAAACAGGTAATACAAATTCCTTAAAAATCCGGCCTCTGTGGGTGTCATTGTTGTTTCTCTGCATGTACTTCAGATAATTGAACGCTTAATACCTCAAATGAAAGCTTGTTAGATAGAAATATTATTTACATAATTTGTACATCCCATTACTAGGAGATTTTTGACAGAAAATCGCATTTTTTAT